CTCTGTTAATGTTATTTTTGTACTTGACAGAGGGAAGATTGTATAGAAGGGGTTGTAATTGCAAAGGGTCAATTCTTTGGAAGGGGACCTATGGAAGGTGTGCAAATGGTGCTTTTTCCCCTGAAAATCAAACGTAACAGGCACAAACAAATATTAAGTGAAATCAAATGAATTGATTGAATAAAGTCTCAGGTGATGTTGTTTTATCTGTAAGTTTATTCATTTGCCTTTTTTCTGGAAAAACATAGCCAACTTATCTTTAAATCCTCTGGCCACCCATTCACTCTCTGAGATATTATTTTGTATTACAAAAAGATAGACGATGAGTATGAGTAAGAGCACTTAGTTAATTTCTTTATTCTTTTTGCCAAATAAGTTCACAAACAGAAGTTTAGTAACTCCATCCCCAAGCTGCACTACTTCCTTTAAGAACTCACTCACACATTTAACTTATATAAAGAAGTAAAATGTGAAAAAACAATTTATTGTTAAAAATATATGAAGAAATATTTCTCGACACTCTATAAAGGTGAACCTCTCCTGCATTTTTTAAATCTCTCTTTATACATATACTATTGATCCTTAGTGTTTTGTTTCTCTGCTTGGAATTACCCTGCTAAAAAGGACCATTAGAACAATTAGGATTAAGACCTGATTATTTTGTTTTCTTATGGGAAATGGCTTAGAGACACCCTGGTCCTGTAGAACACAATTAGGTCCCATTGAGAAATAATCAAATGCATCTGCAGTCAGTTCCAGAACACCTGTTAAGCCATGAGAATCCTTTACACTGTAATATCAATCTATGAAAACCCAGAAAAAGCTGTAAAAACCATTAGTGACTTCTGGACACCACCAGAAACCAACAGATGCCTTAATGGTTTCTATGATTTTTTACACATGGTATTTTCCTGATGTAGATACCTGATATAAAGTATTATTGAATGATTTCTATTTCATGTTGTCATATCAATTACCATATGCTTTCCATGTTTAAACTATGATTATATGCTAAATCTAATCCTTTATACAAACACTGCAAACACTGTGTTTACAATTCCTGTGTTTGTATATTATTATTTATATATTATACTTATTACTGCAATAAAAAAATGTATTTTTGTAAATTCATTTTAAGTAGATGACAGTCCAGATGTTATAACTTTAGTTTTTTTTCCCTACAATCAGACCGAACAATGGTTTGAATATTACAGCACAACACTGTTCAAACTCAGTTGGGTTAATGCTCTCTGATAGCTCTCTATTGATGTGAGGTGAGCTCTAAATAGTCTGTGTACAGTATGCACATGACAAAAGAACTTCATACTGTACTACCTGCAGTCAGATCAGATCACTGTTTAGAACAATAAATCTAAAAAGGAAGAGAACTGGCCTTGTGACCGGAAGGTCGCTGATTTGATCCCTTGAGCCAACAGTACATGACTGAAGTGCCCTTGGCCAAGGCACCTAACCCCCAACTGCTCCCCGGGCGCTGTGGATAGGGCTGCCCACTGCTCCGGGCAAGTGTGCTCACTGCCCCCTAGTGTGTGTGTTCACTAGTGTGCATGTGCATCACTTCACAGATGGGTTAAATGCGGAGGTGAATTTCCCCATTGTGGGACTAATAAAGGGTAACTTAACTTAAGTGAAGAACAAATCTGAGGTTGACAGAATAACTGTGCAGTGAGTTTATGGGGACTATTTTGACTAGATTTTCCGTATCACAAGCTTCAATAGCCATTTACCTCCTACACTGCGATAAAACCATAAATTACTGTAAACAGGTAAGCCACAGGCAATGTTAACTAGAATAGCTGGCTAGCTGACAGGCACTCACAATAAAAAAAATCGCAACAGGTTGTCTTCTTATGTTGAAACATCAACATAAGAAAAAAAATAGTAAACACAGCACCCGTTAGCTAATGTCAGCTAGTTGGCTAGGGAACTGCTCAGGGTTGATATTAAGTTGTGAAAGCAGAGATCTTGGCAGGTTTCAGGAGGCAGATTTAGCAGCTGATAATAACACTGTTTTCTTCAGTTCAGTTGAAAACCGATGAAGATAACTGCTTGGATAAGGTCTGATACTTGTGTGTGCTGGTAAAGTTCTGCTCTTCTGATCTAATCTCGACGTCTCTAGTGTTTTGCGGCTGGGAGCTACTCTGTTTTTTCATTGGCTTTGAGAACTGAATCTTTTCAATTTAATCTCACATTCTTTTAATGCTTGAAAGAAAGGGAAAAGATATGGGATAGTGGTTCAGGAGGGTCTGGGAGGGTCTGGTTTTGGGCATGTTACAGGCTGGCAAGAAACATAACCACTTATCCTAATGGGGACATTTCAATCAGACCATATTAGTGTCCTTCCTGAGTTTTGGCAACACTGTAAAACTCTTGACTATGTTTGGAGGGACACATTACTACATGGAGATGTAGTTCAAAAACTATTGTTAGTCTTTGTCTGTGCCAACAGAGTTCAAGAGAGCAAGATTTGTAGGAATTATGTCTTTATTCAAAAAGCTTCCTGTCTATCTGCACAAAACACAGTCTGACAACAGGTCTCCATGCAGGTCTTTATACTGAGTATCTGCCCTGCAGCTATTGGCTCATCTGCTAAGGATCATGTCAGGACAACAGACGTTATGTTTGCAAAGCTTAGAAGAAAGAGTTGGTGCACGTACTAAGGACAATATACATCATGTTGTAAGCAAATACAAGTGAAGGCACTCTTACAAAAGACATTCTGTGAAGTAAACACATGAAGAGCCCTGCGAGTGTTTTTAACCAGCTGCTAGAAAATGACTCTGCAGGGCCTGGGATTGCCACCAGTTAGTTAGGTAATTTCCTGGGTTCGGATTCATAGAGAGAAATTAAATTAAAGACAAAAAATACCTTCTATGTCTTCTATATTTCTTTTCATGGCTGAGGGATTGATCGTAATTTGCACCATAACAAACACAACAGTGGTAAAGATCATATTGGAAATTTCTTATTCCTTAATTATTGCTCCTTCATAACAACAGCTGAGGCCAAACAAAAACTGTGGCAATATGCATGTAAACATGAACAGCTATCCTACAGCTTGACCTTTCCTTGTCTGAGGTGGACCACATTTGTTCAGGTCAAGTCAAGTCAAAGTTTCTTCAGAAAATCCGGGTCCAAGCCCCCATGAGCGTCGCCAGTGGCGACAGTGGCAAGGAAAAACTCCCTAAGAGTAAGAGGAAGAAACCTTGACAGGAAACAAGACATTCTCCTCTGGTCAACACCGGATAGCAAACAGCAAACGGGGAAAAACAGGTGAAGCAGGTGGTTATAATTAAATGGTCTGAGTCTGTGCATCAGCAGCAGTATCATCAGAAAGGTCATTTCATGTTAGATTGGGTGTCCTGAAGCAGTTTGCAATGCAGAACAGTCTTGCTGTGGAGATGTAGGATACCTGAAGCCCCTTTGGAGATAAGGAACCAAACTGTAGCAAAAGCAAATCCAGGGGTGCTCTGGGTGGTGGCAGTTTGTGAGTTTCTACAAGAAGCCACCACACCTTTCTACTTTCCTGATACCAAACTGCGTAAAGAACATGATGGAAAAATGCAAAAGCAACTACAACATGTGATTTTCTACATTAAATAGTTTGGGCTGACAGTACAAGTGAAGCTTACAGCACATACTAAAATCCTTAACAAAACATGTTTTGTTAATGATTTGTTGTTAATGATATATATATATATATATATATATATATATATATGTATATATATATATATATAGATCTATATAGATCTATATATAGATCTATTATCATCATCGTCTTTAGACGCTTAGTCCAGATAGGGTCGTGGAAACAGTTGGAAGAGCAGAGAATCCCAGACGGCCCTGTACCCCGCAATTTCCTCCAGCTCATTCCAGGGTACCCCGAGCCACTACCAGGCCAACTTGGAGAAAGGGTACTTTTCCTGAGGTGCATGCGACATTGCAGAGGCCTGTCAGCCATGACAGCCCCACAACATCCAGAGCCTTAAGTCTTATATGATTAAACGTATATAACAGCCCATGGGCTTAATTTTATCATTTTTAATGGAAACATGTTTAAATGAATGTAATGCTGAAACTGTATTTATTGACTCGGCTCCACCAAACTTAACATTTATATATGTCTCATGTGCCGGCAACAAAGGTGCAGGTATAGCTGCTCTATTTGATGGTTCTTTCCAATATGAGCCATTAATATTTGCTGACTTTACGTCCTTTGAGGATCTCTGTGCAGGTCTGAAAGGGGCACCAAGAATATTACTAGTAATTGCCTAAAGGCCTCCGAAGTACAATGCTTTTTTTATTGATGAATTTATGGATACATTATATGGCCAAAAGTACATGGACACCCGCTCATTGCACCCATGTGAGCGCGTTGTACATCTCAATCAAGTGACATAGGCATTAATATGGAATTTCTCTTCTCTTTGCAACTATAAGAGCCTCCACCTGGGAATGCCTTGTCCATAATTCAGCCTTCAACAGATAAGATTTCTAAATTGAGATATTTCTGTAACACAGCCCCTGGTCTGTAAATGGCTTAATGGTGTCGGTCCAGCATATTTATCTGATTTGCCACAGCGATATGAGCCAAGCAGAACTCTCAGATCATTAGGAACTGGTCAGTTAGTCTTGCCGAAGGTGAGGACTAAACATGGAGAAGCAGCGTTTGGCTACTATGCTGCTCTTAAATGGACCCAGTGGACAGAGAGCATTAGAAGAGTCCTGACACTGGACACTTTAAACCAGCCTGAAAACGATCCTGTTAGAGCAGCTTTCAGCTCAGTTTAAACACTGTTAGCTCTACTGCACTTATGACATTTAATGTTATTTCTTTTGAATGTATTTCTTATCAGGTTTGAATCATATTAATAATTTCCATTTTCTTTATTTTTTTTATTTAATTTGAATTTATTTGTAAAGCACTTTGAATAACCACAGTGAATGAAATGTGGTTTATAAATAAATTTGCCTTGCCTTGCCTTGCCTTATTGTCAAATAAACCACGTCTCCCCAGGATTCTCCACTCCTGATTGGTCCCCTCTGGGTTCATCCTGGCACCGCCTCATCAGATTCACCTGACTGTGTTCCTCATTCATGGAGTATTAACACTATCCAGGTTCTGCTAAATCTGACTAACTGAAGGCCATGGAGAGAACAGCAGTCCTCTTTGTTCTCCTCAGCTTCTGCATCACCTCCCTGGGTGAGTGTACGTCTCTTTAAAATGAACATATACAGTAAGGGATGAACAATTATTCACATTTATTTTGTCACTGAATATATTTACAGTGCATGTATCCACTACAGTGCAAATGTCCACTTTATCAGAAACTCCTACCTCCACCTACCTCAGCTACATCTACCTCTTGTAGCTTCACCATGCTGGTGTACAGTTAAAGCCTGCAGGACATTTGTTAATTTCCAGTTTGTATCAGCCATCTTAAAGTCCTCCATCAATGGGCAGTTTTTGACCACAGAGCTGCTCTTGGCTGGATATTTATAGTTGCTGGAACACTCTTGAATGTCACATAGGAAAGAGACTTGATCTTAAATCTATCCTGCTGCTCAGATTCTTGAAGCAGATAAGTGTGTTTTCCACTCATTGTTTCCATTCCTATCTCATGGTGTACCACTGCAATCCTTACAGCTCTGCAATGTAAAGTGGTGCCAGGCAGGCTGAAGCAGATCGATGCTGGGAACGGCCGAGTGTTTGGAGTCAACTCCAAAAATAAGATGTACACTCTGAAGTGGAACAGATTTTTACGGGTTTCAGGATCTTGGAAGCATGTCAGTGTGGGACCTGCTGGTGTCTGGGGAGTCAATACCAACAATTACATCTACAAACGTGTTGGAGTAATTTGGCATAAAGCTTTAGGTGAGCTGGATTTTGTTTTACTTGACAGACATTTTACATACAGTAATGTAATGTATACAGTCGAATACTTAATTCTGCACACCATAATACACAATTACTGTTTATTGGCTGAATTGAGCATATTGAAAAAAAAAAACATGAAATGTGACCTGTGCAAAAGTTATGGCACATTTTATACTGTATATTTTTCCCAAGTATGTTAAACTCTAAGAAATACACAGAAAGTGTGCCCTAAGATGCTAATGTTGGATTTTACTCAGTAAAATATTTCTAGTAAAATGTAGAGTGGAAGTGAGTTGTGCTATGAACTCTTCCCCATGTCTTTACATTTAGGTGTTTGAATTTCTGTCCATCTGCTTCTGCTGCTATGCTTTTTTTTTCTGCTGTTGTTTTCAAGTTGTGCTGAAACAGGTTGATGCCGGAAGAAAGTATATAGCAGGTGTCCGCAAGAACAATGAGGTCTACTGCCTTATTGGGGGGAAAAGCCCTTCCTGGAGAAAAATCCCAGGAAAGCTGAAGTACTACAGCTGTGGACCGTACAGCTGCTGGGGGGTCAACTCAACAGACAGCATCTTCATTGTAAAGGTGATCTACAGACACAGCTGAAGATACAACAGACAACAATGTATTCTATGAGTATTTGTCCATTAGGCACCACATTGGGCCTGGAGTGCAGTTTTGCCAATACTGCTCTTATTAAGCAAGTGGTGGCAAGTGGCATGTTGTGCTTCTAAGTATTGTCGGGGTGTAGAAGAAGATACGAAAAACATAGTGCATGTAGACAAATGCTCTTTTATTTTGAGCAGGCACTTCAAAAGGTAGTAAGAAATGCCCAGCCCAGCGCTACTCCAACACAAAACATGTAATGGTAATGCAGAAGGACACAACGTCTGTGGAGAGGGTGGGGCAACCTAAACACACTGCAAGCCCACCTTCACTGGTCACAGTTACTCCAAGCAAAACAAATACACTAACAACATCAATTGTAATAACAGCAGCAGTAGTAGCTTGAGTTAAACCTCACTGTCATTTTTATTGTAATTGTTGTTTTAGTTATTTATGTTATTTGTTTGTTTTTATTAGGGGTCAAAGCACCAAAAGTGATCACGATTTGCCTAAAGAGGGCGCTACAGCATAGTGTTTCATGTTTTGGCCTATTCCCCCTAAACTGAGAGGCTTACACACATAATTCTCTCTGCTGCTGATTTACTGATTTATACTAAATGAAAACCCATAAACAACTCAGAAATGGCCCTTCTGGGGGGAAAAATTAGAAATTTTATATTTTTTCTATCTTTTGCATAAACTATTTTGGCCAACTTGTCATTGGGTTTTCATCCTATCCTCAACTAACTGGTATCAAATTATCTGCTATATATTGCTGTTGTAGGACTAAAACCTCCTATTGTCCGTTACATTATTATTAAAATTTAAACCACTTACATGAATTGAGATTCAGATGAGGCATGCAAAACTTGACCAGAATTGGCCTTCGGGGATCGCTACACAATGAGACTTAATTAAAAATCCAAATTAATTTTCTTTTTCCTACAAATAAATAACAGGTCTTGTGGGATTAGGTTTTGTTTAGCTGAACAACTTTTCAATTACAAGTTAACTCAGAAATTAAAATGCTTGTCTGGCATTTTGACTTATTTGATCAAAGTCTGCAGCTTGGTATACTACTGTCAAAAGGTCAATTAGTGCAAAATTTGAAAAAATATTACCTGAAGGCCACTTATAAATAATTCTGACAATTGAAGGGCATTTGATGAAGTCTGATTCCCTATCATTTATCTACTGTCTTTAACCTCCTGTAACTCCACAAATTGCCGCTTTTATATTTTTTATAATGTTTTACTCTTGATCGTACTTTCAATTCAGTGATGACTGAAGAATTTTGTGTTTAATATGTTTGCTACTCTTATTATCTTATTACACTATATGTTTTATTAGTCTCTGCTATGTTTTTTTTTACTGAATTTTCAGTCTGAATCTGCTTTGTTTCAGGGTGTGACTCCAACTGCTTGTGGTGGCTCCTTGCAGCAGATACCTGGATCTCTTTCCATGATCGACGTTTCCACTGATGGAAAAGTCTACGGGGTCAATTCCAATGGAGATATCTATCAGAGGTAATTTTATAAAGCATTTATTAATTTACATACATTATTATTGTGTATATTGGACATTTGGCAATAAAAGTGGTGGGTGAGTCTTATAAAAATGAGATACCTTGTCTTGGGGTACCGAATGATGATTGTGACTGGTGTCTTGCAGGGAGGGTGTTTCACCGAGTAACCCTGCTGGCACTAAGTGGATCCATATCAAGTTTGCTATGAAATTCAAGCATATTTCCTACGATCGCGGCCACCTGTGGCTCATCAGCAGAGATGACAGCATCAGGGACTGCACTCAATAAAAGGAGCGAGACCTCTAGAGCCCTAAAGTCAAGTTCATTTCAGACGTCTCATCTCATCTTTGTCACTGGGGATGAACAGCAGCAAAAAAGAAAAAAGTTATCATCTATAATAAACTCTTTCCTGATTATTTTCCACATTTTCTATTGCATTTAACCAAATATTTCACAGATTGATAAGCTGCAAAAATAATGTAAAATTGAAAACACTGCAATAAATTTTTACTTTCTTTAAACAAATTTGAATTCAGTGTTATTTTTTCTTATTTTGTGTATTCTTTGATTTATGGGCTTTGTTTTGAAAAGTCCAGGGAAACAGGGACAAGGCAGAAACCTTAGTAAAATATTACTCATGTGAAAACAGAAATCCTCTATTTAGATTTTTAAATGTGTACATAATAATAATAAAGTACTTTAGTATTGTTTGTAAAACTACTGTGAGTTATTATAGCTTCTATTGAATAGCTATGGCAGATATTGGCACTTTCACATTTATGCCACAGTTTAATCATGTCACAGAAGTAGGTGAATGTAGAGTTAGGAGTCTTGACCAATGACTCTTATTGGTGTAGTGTGGTGTGCTCGCCCAGGCAGGGAATCTCACTCCTGTTTGCTGGATGGAGAGCAGAGGTCTTACCCACTACACTGTATTTGACCACCAGTACTATGCATTGATGGCCAGACTGGTCTCCTCAGTGAGTCACATAAAATGGCTCACTTCACCCATTAGAACAGGCTGGAGGAAGAGCTAATTAAGGCTGAGCAGTGACAGCTGTGGGCGCCTTACCTTGGTAGCATGTGGGGTACCCACATGCCACTCTCTGCTCAGTCCTGAGTTCTTGCTGCTATGTGCACGTTACTCTGACTCAGCTGGTAATCTGTAAAAATCCTCTAGTTTTGAGTTCTAAGTGCTTCCCTGTCTTGCGGAACTCTCCAGTGTAAGTATTAAAAAAGAAGAAGAAAAAAATGAAAGAAAAAAACTAGAATATCGTTGGTAAACTCTTCAGTTGGTATTACCACAATTCTCTCTGGTGGTGTGCTGTTTAGCATGTTGGTTCGCCAACAGCGAGGTTGAGAGTTCAATCCATCTTTGGCTAATTCTTTCTTTTTTTTATTGTGTTCTCCTTTACTGTAGTTTTCTCTCTAATACTCACTCCCTTTTTGCTTTATCTTCTTCGTCTCATGCCTTTATTAGGTCACTGCCTAATGTCTGATTGTGGGTTCATGCCTTATGAAAGGACAGCCACCTGGTGTGTAACAGCAGGACTGTGTCATAACATGGAGCAATCACAGCTAGAACAGGTGCAAAACATGCTGACTAGTCAGGGTGTGGCAATTGGTCGCCATGAGCAGGTCCTGCAACAGATATTAAACCAACTGCAACCCAACCGGTGGAAACTCCAGCCTCTGTGGTTACCCCTCCTCCTGAAGCTCTACATTCAAGTCACAGAGCTGAAACTAGCTCACCCTCCCTTGAGAGGTTTAATGGTGAACCTGGTTGTTATAGGGGGGTAGTTTCCTTCAATGCACCTTAGTTTTTGAGCAGCAGCCCTCAATATTCCCCAGAGTGCTCTAAAGTAGCTTTCATCATCTCGCTACTCACGGATTGCCTTCCGAGTCGCCCAAGCAACCTGTACTTGGGTACTCGATTAGAGTGAGAGGCTTGTATGCGAGAGGGGCGGTGTCTCTGCTGTGGGCAACCTGTCATTTCTGAGCAACGTGGTATGAGCTTCTGGGAAAAGCCGGGGTCCATTTGCAGAAAGTGGAATCTGTAACAGACACAGTACAACCTCCCCAGATGTCCGGATTCTTTCTCACGGTGCCCCTATTGTGGGCAGGTTACCCAGCAGACCATGAATGTCACCCTTCAGATAGCATACTGAGTTGACCTTGTTTCTAATCCTCCAAGCGC